AATCATTTTTAGTAATCAAGTTACTCAAGGAATTGTCTCCACCCTCATTGTGCATATATTTTTTATCATTCACCTTCCCTCAGGTCTAAGTCTCCAGTGAGGAAAAGAGAATCTATCTCACCAATAGAAAGGAAGAAGCGACGGTCTAAATCTCGGAGTCTTGCCCGGCGGCGAAGGTCACGCTCTGCTGCTCGACGTAAGCGCTCACGCTCCAAGTCACGGACCAGAGTCCGCAGGTCCAAGTCCCGCTCTCCAACCCGCAAGAGGCGATCCCGCTCACCCAACACCCGTGGGAGGAGGAGGTCCAAGTCCACAGACAGAAGCAAGCGATCCAAGAGCCGCTCCACAGGCCGGAGGAAAAGGTCCAGATCAGGAGACAGAAGCAGGCGCTCAAGGTCACGTTCCTCTGACCGCAGACGCAGGTCTAGGTCCAGGGGTCGAGGCAGGCGCCCAGCATTTCGCAGTCGTTCGTTCGATAGACGTGACAGGTGGAAAAGGGAACCTAGCCACTCTCCAGTTCTCATTCTTCGCAAACAACGCCGCTCAGGGTCCCGAACACGACGCAGCACCAGCAAGACTCCTCCACGGCTCACTGAACTGGGTAAAACATTTTGATAGGAACTAAAACAGTCATACTTAACACAGCTCACAGTTTCATTTTGTATGATTTAGTTTTTAGATTCTTTCTTAAATTCATTCTTTGTTTTACACCCCCTCTCTATGCCCTCTGTCTCTCCTCTGTCCTCTCTTCCCTCAGATAAGGACCAGTTACTGGAGATAGCCAAAGCTAATGCTGCTGCCATGTGTGCTAAGGCGGGGGTGCCCATTCCTGAGAGTCTTCGGCCAAAAGCCATCCTCCAGCTCCCTCTCCCCACTCCATCTCCTGCCCCCCTCTCCTTACCCCTACCTTTACCTCTCCCAATGGGCATGGGGATGCCAAACATGCCGAATATGCCCAACATGGGTCCAATGGGGCTATCCAATATTCCAGGAATGTCCAGCATGTCAAACATCACCATGAGTGCCGCTATGGCCAGTATGACAGCAGCTACTATGACCGCTGCCTTGACCAATATGGGTGCTCTGGCTGCCATGCCTCCTCTTGCCCCACTTCCTACCATCACAAACAAGCCTCCCCCGTGCCTCGCCCCGCCAACGCCAACCCTTAACCTGGACCACATCGAGGAAGCAAAGCGGAAGGTCACCCAGCAAGCTAACATACACACCATCAAGGAGCTTACTGAGGTAAATTGGGGGTTGGAGGAGTGATTGTACAGTATGTGCACATGTTTGCCTGATGAATGTCGCAGTGTGAGTGGTGTTTTTTACAACTGCACCAACTCAAAGTAACTGATCTGTTTTGTTGTGTTTTTGTAGAAGTGTAAGATGATTGCAAATAGCAAGGAGGAGATGGCCATTGCTAAACCTCATGTCTCAGATGATGAAAGCTAAAACCAACAAGCCCTCATGGTAAGATTTTCAATCTCTATTCTTCCATTTCTTTGTCAGTCTACGTTCTTGTCTTTACAGTGTTATGTAAGCGTTATATTCATTTAACTTAATTCCATTGTGGGCATTGGATATTTTAATTATTGATTTGAAATATTCTCTTTCGTTCATAGCCTTTCACTTTGGCTTAGCACTCCCACTGTTATCGCTTTTTCAGTTATCCGTTTCTCTCCCTATTTTAAACATTTTCACTATTTTAAAGGTCCAGTGTGTAACATCTATTGGCAGAAATAGAATAATGTTCAGAGGTATGTTTTGATTAGTTTATAATCACCTGAATATAGGAATTGTGTTTTTGTTACCTTGGAATAAGCTGTTTTTATCTATAGATGCTGTAAGTAGCTTTTCATGGAGTGCGCCATGTTTCTACAGTAGTCCAAAATGGACGAACCAAACATTGGCTGCGGATTGGGTCTTTTGTGTTTTTCTCAAGTTTTGCAACCACTGTAGTTTCTCCTTACACACTTTACACCCCTTCTCAATCCAAGGTTGTCAAATACTGACACTGACACTAAGTGGTGTTCAGTTAGTTGCAATCTGAAACTTTACCGCTAGATGCCACTAAATCCTACACACTGGTCCTTTAAGGACCCACACCAACTCTTTGACCTGTTGACCAATTTACCTGATACCTGAGAGGAAGATTGGTACTAAAATTATTGTAATGTAATGGTAGTTCTGCATGGTTAACTATACCATCTAGCATTACAATGGCTGCAACTTGTTGTTTTTATGGTAATTACTCTCATTATTTCTGAAAACGCAGCATGACAAAGTATTAGCATGCTAACCAGACAGATCCCTACTAGTGAGACAGATTGATGGTGATTCACTTTTCTGACAATTTGCCCTTGCTTCAATTGTGCTCTGACTGAATTGTTCCTCTACATATTATGTCATAGTTACGCAGCCTAATGTTTTCTGTAAGCATTAACTGATGAGTTTGTCTCTGATTAATACAGACAAATGAGACAAAATGTTCGATCAAAGCTGACCTTTTCTCTCTCTCTGTCTACACACAGCCACTCCCTGGAAGGAAAATGTAAAGGAAAAAAAAAAAAGAAAAAAGAAAGAAAAA